AATATATATATATTACAGAGAGAGAGGATGCAAACTGATCAAATGATCCCTTGATTTTTTTAGGAAAGAAAAAATAAACCTCTAACTCTCTATTAAATGACTACTTATTGACCCTCCAACTTCTTAAAGACGAACTAAAATCAATCCTATTTATGAGAATTTTAAAAGCTTGCAGAGATCAAAATAATTTTTTTAAATATAATTTAGGGTCATTTTTGATCCTTCTATATACAACAAAAAACCATTTTGATCTATATATACCTAAACCCTATATAATAACTATACAATTAATATCTAATATTATATAATATAATATATACATATATATATATATATGATATATATAATTATATAATATATTAACCATATATATTTAATAGTTATATATATAATATCTAAAAAGACATAAGGAATTCATGTGCTCTTCTAGTTTTATTACCCAAATATCAAACCTAGCCATCAAAAATCTATAGAGATTGGACAATACAACATTAAACAAGCAAGAAGTATAGCACCGTAAGAGCATTCATGAGCTCTGCAGGGTTTTGTGGTTGCGCAAACCGCCTGCGCTCTCCTTCGCGTCATTGCGTCCTTCTCTCGAAGCTTCTCAGGAAGTTTCGTGCCCTAAATCTTTGGTTTTGGTTGTTTTTATTTTTATGGAGCGTGAACAGACTTGGATCCTAAATTTTTTGACAGGCAATCCCTCATCTCGATCTTTTTCGGCGCATTTGCGGGTTTTTCTCTGTTCGAGCGTCCTAACCATGACCTTAAAATTTCATCTTTTCGGGGGTCCCATCACTTTGGATTCAGATGAATCCTCTAATACAAATATTATAGTAATTTTAATATATTTTAAAATAATTATGTAATTATATAATATTGAGGATATTTGGATGTAAAAAACTCTTAAAGATGAAAATTTTATAATATGCTTAGATTAAAATTAGTTGAGACAAATTCAAAAGTGGAATTTCGGCAAAAGGAAGATATGATGACATTTACAAGATTTGAATTACCTTAAAAAACTCTTGCCTTTTTTACTTCATGAACGAGATATGATAACTATTCCAACGTGTGTTGGAAGTCTTTGCCCATAATAAAGTAAATTATTGCGTTGGAGTTATTATGTCACCACTACAATATGTAACATTTTGATAGATTTTTTATGTGAATATTGGTTTTCACATTTGTGAATTATTGTTTTAAAGATTTGAAGCCCTTTTGGTAATTTGAGAAGGAGAATAGGGATTTTGATTTATTATTTCCTTTGATATGTCTATCCAAAAAAATTATCTATTTAAATATGAATTTTGATGATATTTTTAGATCAACTTAGGCTTCATTTGAGACGAATTTCTTAGTATTTTTAAAGCAAATTTTTAGTACAAAAATTTTTTTAAAATTAAAAATTTGTATACTATAAAGTTGCTTTAGAAAATAACAAGAAAGTTGTCTCAAATAAAACTTAAATTGAATAGGATTTGTTAAATCTAATGTTTTATTTTGCTTTTATTTTTCATTTTCCTACTTCCTTATCGCTTTTTTCAAATTCTTAACACACTTCAAACTCGTAAAATTAGGTCATACCTCTTTTTTTTTTCTTGCGACCTTCATAATGTCTTATTTTTAGCTCCTTTTTATTTAGGTTGATTTATCACTTTTGGGGCCTTCGTTATATTCTCTTTCTTATTGAATGAAATTTGAGCAAGTCCCTTTTTATTTGTGCAAGACTCTCCACTTCCAAACCATTTTATTTCTTGAAAGAGTAGGTGTTGATCATATACTTCATATTATTGAAATCTAGTGATAATATTTATTTTTTTTATTATTAAAATTCTTTATTTTAGTAGAAATGTGTGGTAAAAAATCTAGGATATTGGCATATAATATTGATAATTTTGAGATTATATTGCTAGCTTTTCATGTAGTGAATATCATACAAAGTAAAATTAATCTTATTTTAAAACCTACCTCTCCCATTTGATGCGTAAGTGTTCTATGCAATGTAAGGCCTGCGATCCACAAAACAATATTACATACAATTAATAAAATACATTTTAAAATATTAAAAAAAATCAAGCTTAATTAGTTTGCTTACTTTCCTAATTATCACCGGCCTTTATGACAATTGAAAATTTTCTCTTAAGAAGGCCTTCAACTACCAACTATCACATTTGGCTCTTCAATAATCAGAAATTAACACCCAATAGAGAAATCTATATCTAAATATAGTTATAACCGCCACTAGAGCTTAGAAAACCGCTGCAAAACTGGCAATCAGTTGATTTCGCTCATATTTCTCACGGTTATAACCGGCACAATTCTGTACATGTGCAGCAGATATAACCGCTGCAAAAATATGCATTCCGTAAAAATCTTTCCCACCGGTCTTCGAACCGCTACGGAATGTCGTTGCAGCGCATTGCAAACACAGCGGTTATGTAGAGGTTCTACAACCGCTGCAAAGAAAATAGTGGCGGGTATAACGGCCGGGAAAGGTAAAAAAATGTG